AAATGACGTTAGCAATTGCAATCTATCGGTAGATTAGCCAGGACAGGATACCTCCAAATACTCCATGGTGTTGATGGATGCTGATGAGACGGGCGCGTTCACTGAAAATCTGGTGCACACGCACTGACTAGCATGAACTCGGTGGGAGGTTATTCGTTGATAGTGGGGGAGGGGCATGAGAGTTGTAAACATTCAACATTTTGCCTAAGTCCACTCAATCTGCCAGACTTGCCGACTGCAGCTTTAATTTTAAGAAACAGAAGCACTGTAATAAACAGAAACATTTTACATTCCTTATTTTGTTATAATGCTAAATAACAAAACAAAAACAATACTATCCAATAGTCAAAAATCATTTACAGGACAGACACCAGCTCTTTAGATGTATCTCCATCTGAACTCTTTTTTTTCTGCTGCAGTTGGGTAAGCAAGATTTGTTCTTCACCCAGTTTAATTTGTACTTCTGCTCTTTCGGTTTCCCGTTTCAGAAGCAACTCATAGCTGTCACCATCCTGGTTTGTAGCTGAGGAACGTTTGCGTTTTCTTGTAGGAACGTCTTAGACTGTCTTCATTACATCCACTGGGGATCTATCTTCCTCCTCAATCACTGTAGTCAAGTCCAGGCTAAACATTGCATTCTTCTGAAGTCCTAGTCTCTGTAATTGTGGCCTCTCCATCTGCTTCTATGCCTTCAATGCCATGCAGAGCCTATGATATTAAGGACCATATCAGAAATCACTCCTCTTATATGGCTTGTTACCTGTTTGGGGGTTCTTGGCTTCAGTTAGGTCTTTCATTGCCTTGGCCCTAAGGTTCTTCCATCGCAACATAACTTATTTTATGTTCCTCTTTTGGCCAGACCCCATGGCTTTGACATGATTGGTTATGTCCTCCCAAATGTTGTGTTTTCCATTTTTGGTCACTTCTCCACCCTTTGCAGAGCTGAAACCTCCTACTATCGAGGCAAAGTTGGCCCGAACACCCTCCAGCGGTGCACAGGTTTCTGCCACAGTGAAATTAGGCCATGTTTCCAACTCTTTGGAGTAGCCAACACTGATCTTAAAAGCCTTGAGCATGATTGCTTTGGCTTGTGGTCAATTAGCCTTACACCAATCAGCTTATTGCTGGTTAATGGGTGACATCATTTAAACACATCATGTCTTTGCACCCATTTCTCTTGGTCTTACAGAGGCATCCACATGGCGGGTATTGTTCATCGTTACCGTAGGAGAAAGTACTGTCAAAGGGTGCATGCTTGAGCGTGCCAAACCACTCGAGCAAAAGGGAACCAGATCAAATGTAAGATCGGATTACATGCTCTGATCTTAGTTCGGAACCCCTTTTTTGCTTTTGAAAAACCCATTTCCAAGATTTGATCCAATCCGTGATCCGAAATCCCACTGGATTACTTTTGAAAACCTAGGCCCTGGAAGACCCATGTCTGGTTTAAAGATTAAAAACTTCGATACGATACCGATTTCTTAAGCCAACGATTCGATTATTTTCGATACTTCAGAATTTCCCACGATACGATTCGATACGATTCAATACTCGATATTTTTTTGTACATGATATCTAGTTTCAAATAAATCAACAACAAAAAAATATATAATAATTAGCCTTTTATTGAGAATACAGAAACAGCATTTGTGGTGAGCAGGACGCAGCCGACGTGCTCCTCACAGGTGACGTTCATAGGGCCCTTAAGGCCAATTTATACTTCTGCGTCGGGTGCGCGCAGTAGGTACGGCGTAGCATACGCACAGACGCGTACCATACGCCGTACCCTTCGCCGTAACCTGACGCGCACCTCCTCAAAAATGTAACTACACGTCGCGACGCCGCAGACCGCAAGATCTGTGATTGGTCGGCTTGGTAGCATCGCGTTTCCTCCTATGCATTTCCGGCGTGTTAGAAGAAGACACTTGAAGACTGCACCGCTCGCCATTTTTAAATTCTAAGTACAGCGAAACTGTTAAAAAAACTAAAAATTTACCTTTTCCACCTCGATGCTCCAACTCCAACATGATCTGCTCTCTTTCAGTCGCCATTGCTTGTAGTAACCTAAACTCAAAACAGCCGCGAGGAATCTTCTTCTTCTTGCCGCGAGGAATCTAAACACAGTGGAACATTAAAACCCTCCGCCGCCAACTAGCGTTTCGGCGCTGTACTGCAGAGCAACGCAGACCTAAACGCAGAAGTATAAATGCTCATGACAGCGTCGCCTACGTGCGCTACCTACGCCGTACACTACGGCGTACACTCGACACAGAAGTATAAATTGGCCTTTACATAGTCAACGCATCGGTACGCATACGCGTGCGCAAGGCTACACATCGCTACGCTTCGGCCGCCATTATGCGTCGATGCGTAGCCAAATGTGTCGTCCTAGTTTTTGATACGCGACGCGCCGATGCACGCAATACTATGCGTTGTCGGTGGGGGCGACATTGCAAGTAATGTACATAAAAAGGTATATTATTATGTTTACAGAAGAAGAAGATTTGAATACAATGGCGGGCGAAGAGGAAAAGTTATGCGAGCTTGTTCGTATACATCCTTTGTTGCCGCCGATGTAAAATCAGCAATATGCACTCCTCTTCAGTTGCCATTTTGATCTGAATATTACGTGACCCGACTCTAGACTCTACTACCCCCTGCTGCGCAATCGGTGTATTGCATTTCACGCATCGCCGGTGACGCTTGTGTACTATGAAAAGGAGCGCGTCGCTCGCGTTGCTTGCTCGCGTTGACTATGTAACGGCCCTAATAACACTCACACCACCGGCCTCGTGCCGTTCTCTCACGTCGGCCGCGTCCTGCTCGCCACAGTATTCTATTCACATAATGTGTATGTTACTACACTATAGCAGTCTTCTTTGCAAACGGCAACATCTCTTACCACTGCTCCATCTGTTTTCCTAAAGCCAAAATACTTCCACACCCATGACTTGACGCCGACTGGAGTGTGTAACATTTCACTTTCATTGCCAGGTCGCTCTGACGGTTCCATCGCTCTTGAAAGTCAGACTCAACAATGTGTGTGAACATAGATAGACTGTGAAACGTAAGTAAAGCGTGTGAAGCGGTGTGAAGTAGAAGACAATAATGAGGTTAGCGCCACCCGCAGTTTAGGAATAGGTTGTACGCATATGTCGGAGCTGATGCTGAAAATAGACAGGCGGCAAAATAAACACATTAATCGATATTCTTGCGGACGCATCGATGCATCGAATCGTCGGCTGTATAATCGATGGATCGATATGAATCGATTAATATTTACACCCCTACTGATTTCTAACACACACTCAGCTGAGACGTGAGGAAAGGAAACGAGGATGCACAAATAAGAAATGAAAAGCACCCCAGGTGTAAACAGGGCCTGAGAATCGCACCTGCTCATGAAAATTTAATCTCAGGTAGTAAAGATCCTCGTTCATTATGTAAAAGTGTACAGCGCTGGCTTGTGGTGATGAATGGAATAGTCCTCAAAATGTTGCCGGTTGCATAAACTGATTAGACTAGTGTTACAAGATAGTCTTCAACTTTAAGTCAGTTGCATTAAAAGGTAGATTGCTTTAAATTAAATCCAAAAAGACTGATAGTTGGTCAGACTTATGCAACTTGCCCCTGGTTTCATCCATAGCTCCTATTGTTGATTATAATGCATTGATACTTTTTGGCTTGGAAAATGTATGTTAGTATATGCTTAATTCTAAAAGTAATGATTGTAATATTTGCGTTTGTGAGGTGCATCACAATTTTTTCCTCAGGAATGTGTTTTCTAGACTATATGACCACTTACATCAATATATCAATGATCCCATTCATGTAGTTTTGAGTCAGCTTGCTTATAATACATATGCTGCAATCAGTGTTTTTTAAACCAAAGTTTTTACGGCCTATTGCATGTTTATGTTCTGAAAATGGCACGTTTTATTGTTAGGCTACATGTTTACCATTGTTTTGTATGATGTTTTGTAGATAGAACCATGGTGTCAACAAGCAAAATAAAAGATTAAATTACAAATTTAGAAATCCATGTGGTTGGTTTGGCCTCAGCGAAAAATTCAGCGAAATTTCTATAGTCCATTGTCAATAGTGAAATCGCATTAAAACCAAGCAGTTTTCTGTTGTTCAACGTGGCAAATTCGCTTGACCAATTTGGGGTGCGGTATATCCAAGTGAAAAGGGCTTCTGGAACAAGATAAAATATAGGCTTGATTTTGTCCATAGGGAATTGTTTGGATGGTTGTGGTTTGCTATTGGTCGATCTCATATGAGTGACAGGTTGCCCCGCCCTCGCGTCAGTAAATGCGTCATCAGAGAAGAGAAGAAATGCTGCAAGAAGATATTTTGATTATAATACTGCAATATTCTATACATTTTGATAATAATACATTTATTTTTTATAGCGCTTTTCTAGACACTCAAAGATGCTTTACAGTTATTGGTTTACATCGATAAAACAAACAAACAAGGTATATAGACAGGGTTACATAACTAGCACAAGAAATGAAAAAAACACATAGGTACATGGATAAGCAGAAGCAAAGCAAGAGAGGTGGCGATGAAGAACTGGGAAAGTCTGTTAACGGGAAAAAGCAAGCTTTGAGGGCCTGTTTGAAGGATGTAAAGGTGCTTGACTGTTTGATGTGGTCGGACCAACGGACCTGAGGAGACGGGCGTCAGTGTGGCGGATTAGTAGGATGGAGAGGTATGGAGGGGCGAGGTTATTAAGTGCTTTGTATGTGAGGAGAAGTATTTTGAAGTTGATCCTGTGTTTGACTGGGAGCCAGTGAAGGTTGTAGAGGACAGGGGTGATATGATCGCGGCGGCGGGTGGAGGTGATTTTAAAGTGACTGCGGTGTAAACGTGCTTTGCTACTCTGTTGACAATAGACCTTTTTGCCGCACCCTAAGAATATATCTACTTTTTCAATGGTTAACCCAGAAAATACCAGATTTTCCTACAGCCACAGATTGTTGTTGTCTGTATTGATGGTCAATAAGCACAGGTAAGAGACTTCTTCTTTTTCCTTAGCAGCCGTCCAGAATCTAATGTCTGTTTAACCTCTGTCTGATAACCATGAGAGTATGAGACAGCTGCTTCTATAAATAACTAACCCCCTCTCGACTGCCTCCCTCCTCATGCTCTCGCTAAGTACGGCTCTCTTCTTGAGTTGACGCATATGTATATGTTGGCTGAAAGAGGGCAGAAGAAACACACCACAACTCCTCAAGGCTGACAGCTCTACGAACTTTCCTTGATCTTGGGAGCTGACAAAAAGCCATGAAGAGCTTGAAGTTCCTAGCAGCCGAGGGCTTCGTCCAAACCGGCACAAACGCGTGTCAGAACCTCCACTGCTTGTCTTGCAATCTCTACCCAATCCTCTTCAAGGCCAGTTATCTGCGTGAGCAGGCATCAATGCTCCACGACTTGGTCCAGACGTGGCCTCTGACAGAGATTAACTTGCGTAAACTGTTAGGCCCAACGGTGGACTGTCCGGAGGATCTCACGTCCCGCACATGCAGGCTCTGTCTGGAGGCCTTTCTCACAGGTTTGAGGGACTATGTGTTTCAAGCTCCAAGCACGTATGCTAAAAAGCTATGTGTGGTGGATATAATGGGTCTGCAAGACACTGAACACCAGGTATGTCCCTGTGGACGGACCCTCGGGCGTTGGGCACGAACCGAGCTTCTCACCCGCATGTGCTACGAGACTATGGCATCCATGCAGGATGGTCAAGCATCACCATCAGCGTTTAAAGTGGAGGTAGATGTTCGCATGGATGCTTTTGTTACTGGACGGAACAACGAGGTTGTGGCTCAGGCTTTGTTGCTTCGCAGACATTGCCCGTTAAAACTGCACTTCGTGGGCCTGCGTGTGGATTCGTTGAGCCTCAGGAACCTGTTTTACCTCCTGAAGCTGGTGGAGTCACACGGCCTGCAGAAGCTAGAAGTGGTGCACAACGTACATCTGGAGGCTCCACACATCGAGGTGATGTTCTCCCAGTTGAAGTTCCCCAAGCTGCGCTCCATCACCTTTCCTGCGCAGGCGTTGAACGTGCACCGGTTGGGCCCGGATGACGAGGGGCTCATGGGAGTTCTGGGAGAGCTGATGAGCAAACTGACCGAGCTGAGAGAGCTTTATCTGGGCTTCTCCACTCTTACAGGACATCTGAGGAAACTGCTGAGGTAAAGACTTGGAATAGTCCAATCCATACTCACCCTCAAGCCATCCTATATGACTTAATTCTTTCAGCCAAACACAATCATAATATCCTGGCTCTTCCCAGCTTTGTAATGGCATTGAATAGTGTCCCGAGTTTTTGAAGCTCCAAAAAGCGCATCATAAAATTAATCCACATGATTCCAGTGATGCCTGGCTTCCGGCAACGGCTGTACGTGTACGATTGTGTTCGTGAGAGAGTCAAGTTCGGTGGAAGGGTGACCTCTGACCTGACAGATTTACATTTATGCATTTTTTTTGGCAGACACTTTTATCCAAATCGACTTGCATTGCATTTCAATGTACACATTTAAGGCCTGTTCACACCGGGACGAATTTCGCGCGCGATATTCGCTGACGTTTAATGCCTCGTGACTAAACAAAGGGCGCCAATGTGAGTGTGCACACCGACGCGAAAAACGCCACGCGTAGAAGCGTCATTTTTTTAAAAACGCCTCGGGTTCGTTTTTTTAGTTTGACGCTCCGCGTCAAAAACTATCCGGCCAGTGAGATTGGCGCTTTTGCTCACGTGTCTGGAGCTTCTGAAGTTACAGTAAAACACAACTTGGTGGCGCTCAAACACAAAACGGTCTTGCCGAGCACACACGTAACGGCGAAGAAGATGCGCCAAGTAGCGTCTACACACCATAGATATCCATAATAAAGGCTAGATGTCTCGTCCGCGCTGCTGGCCAAATATGGCCTTTATTATGGATATCTATGGTCTACACTCCCGGGAAGAAATAAGACGAGGAAGATGCAAGGCAAGATGAATGTAGAGCTGCTGGTCTCGTTGGTGTCGTCGGAACATAAAGAACTATATGACAAACGCGACAGCGACCACAAAAATCGTGATAAAAGAGAACTGTTATGGAGTGGTATTGCAGAGCAAATGGGCACCATCTAATGTCAGGGAATGAATTTGCATGTTCATCGTCAGCGAAAATCGCTTGGGTGTGAACACAAAAAACGCATTGAAAAACGCAGGCGAATAACGTGTGCCGATATTTGTCCCGGTGTGTACGGCCCTTAACATTCTTATCAATTCTTGCTTTCCCTGGGAATCGAACCCTTGACTTCGGCGTTGCAAGCGCCAACGCTCTACTGTTTGAGCTACAGGAAATGTGATGTAGTCGTAGCGTAAGCTTAGGTGAGAATTGATGAACGCAGAAACACAGAGGATAGAGCAAATGTCGGAGAGAAAATTTTTGGATTTCGATATAAAAGAAGAGCTATTTCATACGACGAGAACTCCACTTTCTCGTAAACGCTCGTTACCCGTTGCCGGAAGCCAGGCAGTGATTATGGTTGATTAAAGTTTTAAATGTTTATATTTTTTCTTACAAAAACCCATCGCTTTGCTTCAGAAGGCATTTATTATTAACTCCCTGGAGCCATATGGATAACTGGTACTTTTATGATGGATGGATGAGCTTTTTGGAGCTTCAAAAACTCGGACACTATTTAATGCCATTACAAAGCTGGGAAGAGCCAGGATATTAGGATTGTGTTCGGCTAAAAGAAGAAAGACATATACACTGAGGATGGCTTGAGGGTGAATAAATTATGGGATAATTTTCATTTTTGGGTGGGTGAACTAACCATTTAAAACCACAATGTGACCACAGCTGCCATTTAACTCCTACACATACATTGTTAAAAATTAAGATTTTTTTTTTTTTTTGGCATCTACAATGCAAATGAAGAACATTTGCATTGCACAAAGGGTTCTTTAAAGCCAATTCGCACTGACAAACGCAGACGCCAACAGACGCTTTGTTGGGTTTTGTCAGATCAGTGTGTTAACTCTGTGTATGTCGCCATATTTCGGCTCTCGTTTTTGCTGATTGAACATTGAATCAGCGATTGTTGGATCTTTGAATGTCTGAGATGTGACTTACTCTAATCTTATGGCTGTCTGCATTGGTCAATGCAAGAGTGTAAATCTCCTAGACTTGCGCTCAAAAGTTTTATTTGCTTTTGAAAGAAGTCTCTTCTGCATCTATTTGATCAAAATATGCATCCATCTTAATGGAAATATTGTGTAATATTGTTTCAATTTAAAACAATATTGTATATTTTACTATATTCCTGTGATGCAATTTTCTGCATCATTACTCCAGGCCTCAGTGTCACATGATCCTTCAGAAATCACTCTAATATGCAGATTTTTTGTGAATACACACCTTTTAGTTTTTTAATGACCCCAAACTTGAATTGTGTGTCTTCTTGGCTTCAAATGTAAGATCTGAGAATCTTATTTGAGGGTTTGCGAACAGGGAGCGATTTCAACAACAACAACACACTAGACAACATGGGTTGATAATAACAGGTTTATTATCAACCCATGTTGTCTAGTCTAGTGTGTTGTTGTTGAAATCGCTCCCTGTTTGTTGTGCGACTGTAAGAATGCAGACAGCTGTCCCATTGCGAACTCTAAGTAGGCCAGGACATGACCCTGGCAAAACAGTGTGTTCTACATTCGCTGTAAATAGCAGTGTGTCTTATAACAGTCACAACATCACATGTCATACAGGTGCCAAAACACGATCTGGACCATGATATTAATACTTTTATATTAATCATATTCAGCGCAGTGGTTTTGATAATAGAAAAACTTTTTTGAGCTTCAAATCATCATATTAGAATGATTGCTGAAGGATCATGTGATGAAGACTGGAGTAATGATGCTGAAAAATTCAGCTTTGATCACAGGAATAAATTACATTTTACAATATATTAAAATGAAAAACTGTTGTTTTAAATTGTAATAATATTCGTCAATAATCCTGTTTTTGTTGTATTTTTAATCAAATTTGCAGAGTAGCAAAAAAACTTTTTTTTTTCAGTCAATCACTCGAATGATTTTCCAGATATTTTAATGCAGCTTTTTGTCAAATTACTTTAAAAATGTTTCTATTTTTAAATATTAACCGTTTTAACTTTCAATACTGTACTGTAGATAGAAAGTGCCGATTTATACAATCCGTCCTAAATAGTATTCGAAATTAGAGGCTGCGTCCGCAATGTGATTTGAGTAACTTAGGTACTTATTTTGAATAAGTAATTGCTTCACGACCACTAAAAAAGTATGTTCTATATAGTATGAATCTAAAAATCCGGATGTACTACATTCGCCATTCATTCTGTCATTATCATGTGACCTACCAGCATCAGTTGTTGCTTCACCTCCATTCACACATCCTCTCCCGTGGCCTCATGGGATAGTAAAGTGTCCATCACATGCACACTTCAGAAATTTGCAAAAATCTTTCTTGAATCGGATGGAAAACCTATGAATTGTGAATCGAATCCATTAGTTGTCTACCCAAAGATTCATAGTATGGGGGTGTGACATTTCCCAAACGCGCAGTTGACCAATCACAACACACTGGACAGGCCAACCAATCAGAGCACAGTGTGCTTTTCAGAAGGAGGGGCTTCATAGAGACAGGAACTAAACAGAGCGTAATAGTATGCAATGCAATAATAGCATGCCTATTATTATCATTAGCTGCATTTAGTGTAAATTCCATTATGCCGTTATCCCATTTGAGATAATTCCTAAAACACTTGTTTTGAGTAACTTGAATCTGTTTGTTTCACCAGTCCACTAAACACTCCGCTGCAGGTTATCGAGTTAGCGAACTGTAGTCTCAGCGCAGTGGACATGGTCTACTTCGCCAACAGCCTGCACAGTGAGCACATCGTGAAGCTGGACCTGAGTGGTCATGCGGTGGCGGACGTCTTCCCCAACACCTTCCGGAAGCTTCTGTATCGCTGTTCCGCCACACTCACGAGTCTGGGTGTGGAGGAGTGTGGACTGGACGACGAGACCCTGGATATGTTCACTCAAGCACTGAGACCCTGTCACGCACTACAGGAACTGAAGATCCTGGGTAATCCCCTGAGCATCGCTGCCCTGCGCATTCTTTTCAATACGCTGGCGCTGGGTTTTCCTGCTTTGAGGTACAGTAAGACTGTGTGTTCATTGGGGTCCTATTATGCTTTTTTACATGTTCAACTCTAATGTTGCTGTTTGAGCATGAAAAAGTTACAAAGCACAAAGGCCCTCCAGCGGGAGTTATTCTCTATATCAGTGTCACTGTTTCTGAACTCCCTCATTGCGTCCCAACAAAGACTATAGACAGAAAGGGACTAGTGCCAATGTATACAATCCGTCCTAAAAAGTATTCGAAATTAGAGGCTGTGTCCGCAATCGCAATGTGTTTGGAGTAGGTACTTATTTTGAAAAAGTAATTACTTCACGACCACTAAAAAAGTATGTTCTATATAGTATGAATCTAAAAATCCAGATGTACTACATTTGCCATTCATTCTGTCATTATCATGTGACCTACCAGCATCAGTTGTTGCTTCACCTCCATTCACACATCCTCTCCTGTGGCCTCATGGGATAGTAAAGTGTCCATCATATGCACACTTCAGAATTTCACCAGGAGAAGTAGTTCATCCTGGTACTTTTCTTGGATGTACTACTTTTGTCAAATACTGTTTTTTGCTTACTATATTGTAGGGAAGTATGGCATTTCGGATGTAGCCAATGTGTCCCAAATCGTAGTATGTTGAAATGAGTGTTTCAAAGATACATTAAGCATTTAAATTATCCTATGAATCGTTAATTGAATTTTGTGAATCAATTTGCAAAAATCTTTCTTGAATCGGATGGAAAACCTATGAATCGAATTAGTTGTCTACCCAAAGATTCATAGTAAGGGGGTGTGACATTTCCCAAACGCGCAGTTGACCAATCACAACACACTGGACAGGCCAACCAATCAGAGCACAGTGTGCTTTTCAGAAGGAGGGGCTTCATAGAGACAGGAACTAAACAGAGCGTTACTGACAGACTGGGAAGAGAGGAGCTGCAATAGTGGAGAATATGGGGAAAATTGTTTTAAAGCATGAAAATCTATTCTAAATGAGGCCAAAAACAAAACTTTGTACAAGAGCATAATATGTCCTTTAACTTTTTAGCGTTTTGAGTGTTTACTTCTGACTTAACGTAGATTGTATTGTGCCACAGATACGTTGAGCTGCCCGTCCCTCGTGACTGTTATCCTGAAGGTGCCACCTACCCGCTGGACGATAGGACACTGATAAACTACGACAGGGAGAAGTTCCAGCTAGCCAGGACTGAACTTGTTGGCATCCTAGAGAGGGAGGGGGAAAGACACATAGAAGTCTGCACTCCATTATTTGGAGCCTATGATCCTGACATCAACGAGACCAGCAACGAACTGGGAGTCTCCATGTTGCAATCGTTCAACAGTGTCGTAGGAAACTTCATTGACACTGTCAATAGTGTTACTCAACAGAGAGAGCAGAGAATGATGGAGTGAGACGTTCAAAATGAATTAGTTCGGATGTATGTTTTCAACATTTATAATAAGAAATTTTTCTTGAGCAGCAAATCATATTAGAGTGATTTCTGAAGAATCATGTGACACTGAAGACTGGAGTAATGATGCTGAAAAAATCAGCTTTGATCATAGTTAAATGTAACTTATGTGTTTAAGGTTCACTGTTATTTTTTTAATGGTCTAATTGTTAATAAATATTAAATATGATAATTTGCACTTTAGGCTTGGCTTTCAATAATTACTGTAATGTTAAATGGATCTTTTTTTCCCCTGGAGATAAAGTGTAATTTTAACCAGGACACCATATTGGAATCAGTGGAGACTTTTATTCAATACTTGGTAAAAAGATTCCATTAAACAAATGTTTAAAAAACTGCCTTTGTCACTTACATGAATTCAAAGTGGAAAATGAGATTGAATGTTTGGAAATACCTGTATATATTAGTTCACAGTATGTATATTTATATATTCAAGACGGTTGGGATAAAAGAAAGTTCAGTGTCTGTCTGCAAACAAGACATGCACATCTCTATTAGACAATGTCTAATAAAGATTTTTAAATATTTGCAACTATCCATAACAGGATTGTGATTGAGCTTGATCTCAGTTCATGAAAAGTAAACATTGTATAAGTTAACTGGCATGAAATTGTACTTACTGTGTCTTGTAAAATGTGAGTCATTTTGTACATCACAAAGACTTACCTTAAAAACAAATGCATATTTAATTAAAAGGATTTTTTTTTTACCCCAAAGGTGAAAAAAACAACTACAGGCATTTGAAGACTTTTGTCAGAAAAGACATTTTAATAGGTATAGGGACTCATAATCATAATACATTTACTCTTAAATACAAGATACCAGACGTCACATCAAATAGGAGCTTTAGCCTCATCCTACTTCTTCGCCCACTCCTCTTTTTCCTTATTTTCACGGATAACCTCCTCCAGATACGGCTCAAGGTAAGGAACATCCTGCGGGGAACAATGAACAGCAGTTGAAAACAGCTTATATCTGAAAGGTGCTTAAAAACAAATTAGTTAAATTAATATTCTGTTATTTACTCGTCCTCAAGCCAAATGCATATACTTCCACAAAACAAAAGGCTTAACTTGCTATACTTGTAAGATAGAAATTGCTATACAATGAAAGTAAATCTTTGTAACAAGCATGTTAGAATGATTCTTAAAGGACAACTCCGGTGCAAAATGAACCTCGGGTGTAATAACACATTGGTACAGACTAAATCGTTCCCTGAGATTTGTTTTCATGATAATCGAATGTAAAGAGTTTTATCTCTAAAAACAGTTTAGCTTATAACGCTAGTATATTGGGCATCGAGTAAGCAAAAAGAGATCGCTAGTTAATACCACTAACAAGGCTCAAATTAGCCCCACACTAACACGGCAGCATAATGAGTGTCCTTACATGCAAATCGAAGCATTGAGAACTTTGTAAGTGTATAGACAGTTTAATAAGAAGATACTTTACACAGACAGTACAGCTAGCGCATACAGACAGGAGCCATCTTGGAAAACAGTCTCGATCAGTCAAACCACGAACACGGTGATACGTGAGCTGAACTGTGACTTGGAATCTCATATGGTCCGTTGTTTCCGGAAGAAAGCACTGAGCGCATAAGAGAAGCACTGAACGCAACAGAGAAAAAATAAAAAATAAAATAATTTATCTTATCTTCAATATCTACAAGTACTGTTCGCTCACCTTCGTGGTTCGATTGATCGAGACTGTTTTCCAAGATGGCTGCTGTCTGTATGCGCTAGCTGTACTGTCTGTGTAAAGTATCATCTTATTAAACTGTCTATACACTTACAAAGTTCTCAATGCTTCGGTTTGCATGTAAGGACACTCATTATGCTGCCGTGTTAGTGTGGGGCTAATTTGAGCCTTGTTAGTGGTATTAACTAGCGATCTCTTTTTGCTTACTCGATGCCCAATATACTAGCGTTATAAGCTAAACTGTTTTTAGAGATAAAACTCTTTACATTCGATTATCATGAAAACAAATCTCAGGGAACGATTTAGTCTGTACCAATGTGTTATTACACCCGAGGTTCATTTTGCGCCGGAGTTGTCCTTTAAGCTATAGGATTTGGATGAGAAAGACCAAATTTAATCAACAAAAAAAGTTTGGTGTGTGCGCTAAATGTTTAAAATATACACACGAATACATATTTAGTATTAGAGATCCACCTGTGAACGGTTTTATCGATATTTTTTTCGATATTTAAACATTTTCCCATTCGTGTATTGGTTTTGAAATATTGAATTGACCCATCATGTGGGAGTTTAGAGAATTGCACGCAAGGCGCCAATCATTGTGTCGAGAGAGATGAGTCAACGTGTTCAAAGTTACAATACCTTGCCTCCCTTAGATAATAAACTTAACAGCCATTAATGCATAAATGAGATGTTTCATAAATGCTTGATCTGTAGTTTAAACTTGGCACTAAAAAATAGAGACAAACTCACTGAGTCACGTAATCCGCCAAGTCCTGTCCCAATAAAGACGTCATTTTACATAAATTAAATAGCCATGAATGAGGGCATGTTGGAAATAAAAGCGCTGAATTTAATTCTCTCTCTGTTGTTTACGCTCGTCTCGTAAGTCACGTTTATAGTGCTGTTCATTTATTTACTGGGTAAGTAAATAAAAAAGTATTAAAACTGTTTGTTATTATACATTTTCAAAAACTAATAAGAAAGAACTAAGAAATAAAACAAATAAATATTGGTTATCAGGCACATAAACATGCAAATAATTGGTATCAGTAATAAAAAACCAACACAAAAAAACAAATCAATATTGGTCGCTCTATTTAGTATACCACATTATTTAAGGAATATCAAACTTTAATAAAACCCCCAGGACAATCTCTTTCCCACCCACCTCCTCAAATTTAGTCCACTGGTCCTTGGGAAGAACCGTTTGCTTCATGGAAAGATCCAGAGCTCTCTTGATGCGGAACATCCTGTCGTTGTAAACCGGTTCTGGAAGCCGACGAATGGCCTCTTTCACATCACTGTCTTCGTTGATGGTGTCGTCCCGCATCAAACCTACATGACATGAGGAAGAAATGAGTACATTTGCATACCATATACTTCTTGAAGGTCACAATTTCTAAACATTGCATTGTCTGCATGGTAAAGCGATGGCAGTGCTTACCAAATTTGTTGAAACCACATGCGTTGTAGTACCACTTTCTGAAGCCCACCAGGAGCCTGCCGGTTGCAGCTGTACAGGGACAGGAACAAATGACTTATAATGTGGAGTTAACGGTGACTTTCACGTGTTGGCTGGGTGGGTTATTGAGAGGATAGTTCACCCAAAATTTACATCATTTACCCTTAAGTTGTGAATGGCTGATGGTAGCCATTCACTTCCATAGTATTTTTTTTCCTACTATGGAAGTCAATAGCTACCGTCAACTGTCTAGTTACCAACACTCTTTAAAATATCTTCGTTTGTGTTCAACAGAAGAAAGAAACTCATACAGGTTTGGAACAACTTCAGGCTGAGTAAGTGAAAACAATTTTCTTTTTTGGGTGAACTATCCCTTTAAAACAGAAAAATCTCTGACAAACGGTCACAGCTGACATGAGATTCAGTTATTGGTCTCTACACTCAGAATGAATCACGGAGAATTAAATTATCTCATACTTAAAACACTCACACACAAAAAGTTGTTATTACAGGCGACGTGGGAATAGAAACATATTTCGTCTAGTGCAGACGAGGACACTCAGTAGAGGACATCAGTGATTTACATGACAAAACTGACAACGACGCCAACAAACAGTCATTCTAATAGCGCAGAAAGGAGACGGGTTATAAAATAACTCTTTAACTTGCTGACAACAAATTCATAAGTTCGTAATAAAAAAAAAAGAAGCTCTAAACATTTTACCTGGTGCCCTCGACGCCATTTCTGTTCGCAAGGAAAGTAGCACAGTATTCTGGGATATGTGACGTCTGTCCGGTGATTACGCAATCTTCTTCCCTCAGCATGTGATTGGTTAAATCTGGCCGTCGACGTATTCTTAAAGGGATAGTTCACCAAAAAATTAAAATTCTGTCATCGTTTACTCACCCTAAAGTTTTTCCAAACCTGTATGTATGACCTTCTTCTGTTGAACACAAAATAAGTTATTTTGGAGAAAGTCGAAAAACAATCAGATGATGGGCCCCATTGACCCCCCATTCTATGGTAGTCAGTAAACTGTTTGGTGGTTACCCATATTCTTCAAAATAACTTATGTGTTCAGCAGAAGTATGTGTAGTTTTAGCTCTAGTCCTTTATAACTAGGCTGGAAAGCCTTTATTGTAGTGTTCTGAATGTCCATAATTTTGTTACAATAGCTGACTAACTAGCTAATAGCTAACCCTAACTAGGTACTAACCCTGAACCGTCCCCTAAAACTAACATTAACCCATGTAGTTACCTTATTTTACTTTCTTGTGTAAGTCCACATACTGTAAAATAAAGTGCAACCACTCAGCCTGGACTTGTTCAAGTGCACCAAGGCAAATAATGAACCTTTTATTAAACTGGAATATATCATAAGAGATAAACAGGTGGAATTTCCAGATGTGCACAAGGGCAGCTCAACTTTTAAAGTCACCAGGAAATCAAAATGAATAATTCTTGTTTTTATTTTAATTTATGGAATATCAAAGTATTTATTATTAATGATTTATCCATGCATCTTTAATTAAAATAACTTCCCCTCCCTCTTACAGCGACATCTCTTCTCTTATGAAGTGTTTACTGGCGCAAGGGCGGGGCAACCTGTCACTCACCTGAGATCCACCAATAGCAAACCACAACCATCCAATCAATTCCCTATGGACAAAATCAAGCCCCGCCCTACATTTGTTCTTGTTTGCAGTTTCACTCGGATATAGGTCACAACAGGGAAGAAAAGACTATCGAAACGTATATTTCATGTCGGCGTTAAATTTTTATTTATAAGACTATGTTCATACAACCCAACTTAAAGTAACTTAATTTATTCTGTACATCTACAATGTTTTCTGAAATCTTTCAAAGTCTTCAAGGGTGGCTAATGCTACTTCTGAGCAGAAAATGTCATCAGGCAGGAACACAAAGCGATCCAAAGAGATGTAGTTGGGTTGAGATGGTTGGTACTGGGCCCGGCCTAAGTACTCCAGAAACAAATGCCGCTCTTTGATGCGAAGGAATTTGGCATTAAGGACCTTTGAGAAGTAAAAAACAAACAAAATTAAAGTAAACTCTGACACTGCAAGACACAAAGACATTATTTACCATTTAACACAGCAGAATAGACACTAGTTCTCTTCCTTGAAAAAGCAATTTATATGAAACTGGCACAATATCTGAATTCAGTATTCAAAGCCATGCAATAGAAATACCATGCAAAATGCCTCAGATACAATATCTCTACAAGCAATCACAGCTCTAACTCTACATTTGTTATAATTTTTATATGAAAGGGGCAAATAAGATGTACCTGTGGGAACTTTGCAATAAGTGAGTGTGGAACCTCCATGGTGTTGTGAACGAAGTCAAATATTTGGGTGAGTTTTCTTTTATTAGCGATTAAAACTTTAGGAACAGTTGTGACAATGTGTTGGATTTCATTTCCACGAAATCCAAACTCCAGTTCACAAACCTTGATGAGAGAAATAAATGAATATCTGTCACAATATTACAATTAAAAACAAAATTACGAAAGACCAAGAAAGTGTCAGACCTTTAGATTCTCCTTGATTGGCTCTAAACTTCCACACAGTAGTTTCGGTAGACGAGTCACAACATTTCGGGTCTGAAAGTATAAATCACGACAACACTCATGGTGAATGTAGATCTTCTGCAAACGCTAAACGTCAATATGAAAATCAGGTCAAAATCATGTCTTCATTATTGAGTGGTATGAATGGATCTTAAAGGGATAGTTCACCCCAAAATGAAAATTCTGTCAGTAATTATTCGCCGTCATGTTGTTCCAATCCCGTAAGACTTTCGTTCATCTTCGGAACACAAATTAAGATATTTTTTATTAAATCTGAGAGCTGGATTACTCCTCCGTGGGCTTCTATGGTAATTTCCTTCTCTGTGGGCCTCGAAATAGTTCACGTAGTGTAACAGCGCAGCGCTTCTGGGTTGTACGTCACACATAGGCTCACTATACGCTGATTTCACGCAGCCGTTATTTTGAAATCGAAAGCGAGGCTCCGGTGGGAAGTAAACCGGAAGTGTCGCCTTAAAAGGGATAGTTCACTTTGAAATAAATTTTTGGTATGTTTTAGCTTACCTCAAGGGCATCCAAGATGTAGGTGTCTTAGTGTCCACAGTATTTTCAATTTTGATATTTTTAGGTCAAACCGTTTTTGTCTGTCAGTCATATAATGCAGGTCTATGGTCACCACCTCAAAGAGCATGCACAGAGAAGTCCAAATTAAACATGATTTAATGACTCGTAAATGTAAGTACACACTGATGGCCTAAGACACGAAACGAGCGGTTTGTGTGAGAAAACGAACAGTATTTATATTGTTTTTACCTCTTGTAAACACAGCCACGTCCAAGTGATCTGAGGGCGCCGGCGCTTCGGTCTTTTCCGGAAAGCGCCGGAAGTGATCTCTCTCGCGCGTGAACGTCACTCATTGTTTACACAGAGCAGAGATTGTAAGTAAGACGGCTAATTAAAATGGTACAAATTTGCGCTTATCCGGGATGTTTCAACCGTCGTAAAAGAAAACAATTCCAAAAAAATAAAAAATAAAACAATTGTATGAGTGACGTACATGCGTGAGAGATCACTTCCGGCGCTTTCCGGAAAAGACCGAAGCGCCCGCGCCCTCAGATCACTTGGACGTGGCTGTGTTTACAAGAGGTAAAAACGATATAAATACTGTTCGTTTTCTCACACAAACCGCTCGTTTCGTGTCTTAGGCCATCAGTGTGTACTTACATTTACGAGTCATTAAATCATGTTTAATTTGGACTTCTCTGTGCATGCTCTTTGAGGTGGTGACCATAGACCTGCATTATATGACTGACAGACAAGAACGGTTTGACCTAAAAACATAAAAATTAAAAATACTGTGGACACAAAGACACCTACATCTTGGATGCCCTTGAGGTAAGCTAAAACATACCAAAAATTAATTTCAAAGTGAACTATCCCTTTAATGTGTAGCGAAAAAAAAAACACCCAATCTGGCAACACAAGCCACCAGTGTCGCACCGCGGCCGCCGCATGCGTCATCAGAACAAGAAGCAGCATGTAGTCGACAAAGCAGCGAGGAGGCGTCGCATCGCATGATCAGTTTTAAGACAAGGTCGGTGAGGATGGGAAAAATCTTACATTTCTGTACAAACTTTGCCCGCCGGTAAAATAATTGCTGTAGTGGTTGTATATGGGTTGTGGCAATAATTAAAAAAAAAAAAATAGCTCGCAGCAACATATGGAAAAAAAGAACTATGAACTAGTTCATTTTTTGGAACCGTGAACTTAGTTCAAAATTGTAAAGTATAAACTGAACTAGTTCATTTTAAAATTTGTTAACTGAACTTTGAACTAGTTCATGTAGAAAGTGAACTTTCCCAACACTGTCCATAGGCTTCTATTGTAATTTCCTTCTCTGTGGGCCTCGAGTGAGTTCACGTAGTGTAACAGCGCAGCGCTTCTGTGTTGTACATCACACATAGGCTCACTATTGACCTACGCTGGTCATGTGTGTGATGATGCGTGTGACGTACAACACAGAAGCTTTGCGCAGTTTCACTACGTGAACCATCTCGAGGCCCACAGAGAAGGAAATGAATGGTTGAATAAAGTTGTTATTTTTGTTTGTTTTTTTGCGCACAAAAAGTATTCTCGTCGCTTGATAAACTTAAGATTGAGTCACTGTAGTCAACGATGTCTTTAACTTTTCTGAGCCGGCCAGCTTCGATCCCTTAGAAGCCCTTAGAGTGATCCAGCTCTCAGATTTAATCAAAAACATCTTAATTTGTGTTCCGAAGATGAACGAAAGTCTTACGGGGTTGAAACAACATGAGGGCGAGTAATTACTGACAGAATTTTCATTTTGGGGTGAACGAACCCTTTAAGAGTGAGATTGTTTTTTTTAGTTTTTTCAAACAAAATATATGCAATTCAACTTCACCTTCTCAGCACTGAGTCCCAACTGCTGCTGAAAAAACCCAAGGCGGTTGTCGAGCCTCTCAACGCTGAAGTTAAGCAGATATGGAGCTTTGCTCACCATGACAGCCACAGACTGTTGACTGAACTTCTTTGTTTTTAAATAGGACACCCTTAAAAGGAACAGACCAAAGCAAGAAAGTAACATTTAGGAGAAAATGATCAACAAAAAAAACGGTGCAGTTTCAATGCACAAGTCAAATTGCTAAATGCTGCAATTTACAGTTTATTTTAGATTTTTTTTATTTAAGAGAACCTATTAAGCCCTTTTACAAAGTCTTGTTTTTATTTTTGGGCTCTACTAGAATAGGTAGAGCTTGCTTAAATGTTGAAAAAAAAACCCCTTATTTTTCCACATATTCTCCATTGTTGCAGCTCCTCTCTTCCCAGTCTGTCAGTAACGCTCTGGGCTGTGCTTCCCATAAAGCAACGTAACTCGCTGTTTAACTACGTAACTTAAGTATGATGAATCGTTAAAGAAATCAAATAGCTAGTCACAATTCTTTACCCGAAACCGTATTTTCGCAAATTCGATCATGTTGGTTAATGATGTCATTGTGGTGGAGTAATAACTTTTAATTAACCCGTTTGAGATCTAATTAATGCCAGTTATTCTTATTGCCAGTTATTTTTCTTTATTTCCAGATTCAATCATAGGCTCGTTCTTACGTACTAGCGCACATTCGCACTCTTCAAAAACGGTGCTTTAAATCTCTTGACAAACTAAAAGACGTAAATGACATTTGTATGTATTCTAAATAAAATATATAGATTGTACTGAATGTCAGCTTACTTATTTGGCTCAAAATAAGGATTTATTAAGTCCACAAGTCATGCAAACAAGAGACTATGGTCCTAACCACACAACTTTGTGTTGTTGTTTGTGAATGTTTGTTGGAACTATGGTTTTAGTTCCTGTCTCTATGAAGCCCCTTCTACTGAAAAGCACACTGTGCTCTGATTGGTCGGCTGGAGCAGTGTGTTGTGATTGGTCAAGCGCTTCGAGTGTGTTTGGGAAATGTCCCGACTCTTACCATAACCACCAGTTTAACACACTACTAACTAACTCAACCAGGCCCCGCCCCTTTATTCTGCGTATGAATTATTTAAATGAGGAATATTGTGACGTGTTCGTTCCCGGAAGAAACTCAAGACTACAATGGAGGCGTTTCAGGGAGTTCAGAAACACTGACACTGATATAGAGAATAACTCCCACTGGAGGGACTTTGTGCTTTGTAACTTTGCAGAGCTTTTTCCTGCTCAAACAACAACATTACACACTAAAGAAAGATGAACATGTTAACAAGCATCATAGGTCCTCTTTAAATTCTCTTTCTGACCTGGCTTCAAGGTTGTCCAGGCTTTCTGTGAGGATGAAGGGGTTCTTGGTGAGCAGTGTGCCCAGTTTAGACTCCTCAACTCCCAGATCTTTGAGGAAGAGTAGTCTGGGTGCAACATCAGCTTGGAAGTCAAGCCTAATCAGCATGGAGCCCACATTGGGTCTCTGCTCTAGTTCCCACAGGTTGACACCTTTTGGAAATTGAGCAAAAGATTAGACAAATCCAAAAGAATCCAACATAACTTACTATAGATATGAGACATACCAAGCTGAACAAGTTTGCTGAGAGTTTCTGATTTATCCACATAAGGTTTGAGTGTGAAAGAATCTGGCGGAAGTGCAGAAGGCACTTGGATCTGGACTGCTTCTTCCTCACTGATTTCCTGAAGAGGAGAAGGACGCACAACTGCATCCAAGCCTATAGCAAACAGGATTATTACCTTTACAATTTAAGTATCAGGGATTCACATGCAAGTATAGCTATATATACATACCTATATCCGAAAGAGACTCTTGGTTTGATATTTGATGCACGTTCAAATTTTCAAATGGCACAATATGTTTTTCAACCTCTCTTTCAGCAAGATCAGTCTTATTATTATACACATCTGGTGAAGCGGCTTGGTGGTCGGTTAAGTTTCGTCTTCCACACGGTGCCCATGTCTCTATACTGTGCCTCAGTGTGAGACTGTGGACGGGTGGCTGTTCCCGGCTGTGCTGTAGCAGGATATGATGCGAGCGCTGATGCAGTGTGTGTGTTGACGGCTGGAGAGCTGCAGATAATAACGGCCTCACGAGCAACAAACTCACACATCGCCGACAAAGATGCATGACGAGACGACTCACAAGAGTTTTCCTGGGTGGAATAAGATTGTGTTACATGATTATACATTCTCCTGAGAACCTGATTTTTTTTGTGACTTTTTAAAATTATGTCATTACATTGTTTGGAGCATAAGAAACAATTGGAGAAATATTTTTTGCAATGTCCTCTGATGGGGACACTAGTTATTAAAAAATAAAATGACATGATAATACATGTAAAGGCATTTTTTTTTTTTTACATTTAGCAATCGTTTTTTAGGTTTCAGGCTATTTTTAACCAAACTTTCTCAACTATGTTATAAAAGATAGTATAACAGAATGATTTGATATTCTAGTTTACTTTATGCAATGTGTGTGTAAAATGGCCCTAAATGTTTGCATATTAATGTATTCTTGGGGAAACACGTAATGAAAAAAGAAGTGTAATAACGGAAGTAATAACTTGACATTTTCATAAGAATATCTCAGATTTCATACTAGGAATATTGATGTATAATTTCTTTCAGTGTGTTGCGTCTCTCGCCCAAACTCCCTGATAAACAGCCCAGTGCCAGAACCCCAGCGCCAGAACCGGAAGTGAGGGAGGGGCGGAATTATTTACAATGACACATTTTTGCAAGTAGGCCTATTTAAAAATATTTAAAATTGTTGCACCTTTTAAATAATATTTAGGGTATGTTTTTATTACACAGTGAGTCACTGCTCGTTGTATGAACTATAACTGGTATGTGACAAATAAAGAGCAAGACAGCGCTCGTGTTGTTCGAAGACGTCAGAGTGCGCGCGCGCGGCCAGGGCTCTCTCTCTCTGCTCGTTAAGCGCCCTGTCACGCGCAGCAGTCATTCTATTCTACATCACTCACCGATCAAAATAGGCTTTGGCGGGACAAAAATTTGCTTTGGCGACCGCCAAAAAGCGGACGATCTGACGGGTTTTAGAAGATTTAATACAACCTGAAACTAAAAAACAGACCCGACCTCTATTTGCGACCGGCCTTATATTTACCCAGACCTGCAGCCACACCAGGCATGTAAAGAGACAATCGTCTATTTGGGACTCGGCTATTATTTGAAGTACGGTACATTTTTATTGTTTCTTTTAAAACAATGCCAGATTTTCTCTCTCTTTTTAGATTTTTGTCATTATTTTACATAAAGAAAAATGCATGCTGCACATGTTCTTGTGAAATAAAGTATATTTTATATAAAATGACCATAAGTTTCAAGCATTATTTTTCACCATCATGATCAGGAAGTAACTCTCATAATACAATGAAACGGATAACTATATAGAATTATATTACACAAAATCAACGTTTTTTCATCAAATGCTTATTGTACTATACCTTAATGTATCATTATAATATGTATAAAGTATGACGTTTCGTGTGTAATAATTCCGTTTCGTGTCTAAGCAAACTACGCTCCAAAACGTTAGGTGGCGTTACTCGGTTTAGAACGTAAGCTCGGCCCCTCACTTCCGGTCCTGGCGCTGGTGTTAGAACGTAAGCTCCGCCCATTACTTCCGGTTCTGGCGCTGGGGTTCTGAAAGTGGTGGTGCTGCGGGTCTGCAGCTGGATACTATTGGAGAAACATGCTTCAAGTCCTGGTTCTACAGTGGACATGTCGATGCCCTGTTTTGTAATAGAAAGTCATATTTTGATTAGAAACCCCATTACTTTTTCCCGAGATATTGATTTATGACAAACAATTTGATTATCATATTTCCATAAGAGTGCTAAGTTTGAGAATTCAGTCAACGTCAGTCATTTTTAAAGACCAAGGAGAAGTTGTTGTCCAAACATTTGATATCTCTGAATTTTCAGAACTAACGTTATCCCTTTAAAACTGTGACATATTTGGTCTCAGAGAAATTCGCTAAAATACAATGTCCTCTACAAAGGAAAAAAAAAAAAGTCTATGCTTGGGTCTCAGGAGGATATTGTGAAAATACATAATATTTGATTACATAATACACGCATTAGTTTACGAGGCAACTGCGAGTTTATATCAGTGTATGGGAGTGACAGTATTGACTCCAATGTCACTAACGTTACCATATCAACATGATAGAGTTATCCAGAGAAGGGGAAACGGGGGACAAATGATGCAGTTTATATCAAAGCATTATTATAGCGCAGACTGTATATCATAGACATGACCTTACGTCTTATAAAAATAAACATTACCTGATTTCAATAGTAGGACAAATCTTCACTGCTGCGAGTTCACGTGTTGTTTCCAGTCTTTGCTCTTCGCTGGTGAGTCACAGCGCCCTCTAATGCACGGATGATTCAATGAAAAATCAATTCACTCAGGGGACTAATGGATTCATTAATTACGGTTTATTACAAAAATTACTTAACACAGTTGTACCAAGTCAGGGCTACAGGCAAACAATGTGGTGTGTAAGATTTTAATAATATAACTTGTTATCAACACTATTTTGACATTTTTTTCATACCCATATCATATGAATAAAACAAGCAGTTTCAGAGACATTTAAATAAAGGACTGTACTGCACTGTAACAGATAGTGTTTAATTACTGTAACATACAAAACAGAGCGTTGCCATATAGGTAACATCGATAAAACCAAAGTCTGTGAGACTGTTTAAAAAAGTGCGTGCACAATTACAAAAATTATCTTTACAACAAATGGCACAACATAATTTTTTTAACCAATGTGTATCACAATATATAACATTTGCTTTAATTTTCGGGCTGACAAGCAAAACTAAAGCTGCTTTTGGGTGAATGTTCACAACACTGAAGCTCAGGGAGACTTGAGAGAAATAGTATTGTTACAGTAGTAAAACTAAAAACAAAACACTCTGTAGGTCGATACTTCATTCATTATACTTTTTTAAACATACAAAGTACGAACTTTTAATTTGATATCTTTGGAGCAGCTAAAATGTTACTCTTTTAAGTTTAAACGACAAAGAAAACACTTTCATGAAAGTAAACAAGTATGTTGCATGTCAACATGTAATTCAAAGCATGCAAAACAGCATTAAATAATATGAAACAGAAACGTCTAAAACACATGATTAAAGACAACCAACTGAAGGCTCAAAGCCTTTGCAAATTGCTATAAGAAGCACTTTTTCGACATTATAAAAGTCTCTTTTCCCATTTGAGACAGAGAGCACGTGTAGTATGCATTAAAATGCACATGCACAGATATACAGAACACATCATATACAAACAAAACCATTAAAAAGGATACAATCTGCCAGTGTTGACCTGTAAGAGTCTATATAATGTGAAATCGGGGGCCCGGGGTGGCGATGATGTCGCTGTAGGGCTCGTCCTGCCTGAGCTCCACTGCCTGCTGTTTCTTTAGCACCAGAAAACTGTAGAACTTGGCAGCTGCTTGTTTCTTGTTGTTGTTTCTGCACAGTTCCAGCAAGCTGATCGATTCTGCTCCAGTCTTAGCAATGACTCTCTGTAGGAAGTAAGAGGAAGCATTCAGAGGAATAAAAAGGGTATTTGTTGATATAAAATCCGTTTATTGCATTATCAAGATAGTTACTGCATGTTTAAATTCTGCCAAACCTGTAAACCGTGCAGCATCTGCTGTGTTCTCTTGTTCCACCTCCTCTCTTCCTGATCCTGGTCTCCGCTCTGACCTTCCTCCTCCTTATAAACAAAAATTCTGATTTACAAACATTTCATTTTGTTTTTGGGCTGTACTCTTTTGGGTTTTCATTCTTGAATGTTCAAAAAACATATTATTCCCATATTCTCCATTGTTGCAGCTCCTCTCTTCACAGTCTGTCAGTAACGCTCTGTTTAGTTCCTGTCTCTATGAAGCCCCTCCTTCTGAAAAGCACACTGTGCTCTGATTGGTCGGCTGGATCAGTGTGTTGTGATTGGTCATGCGCTTCAAGTGTGTTTGGGAAATGTCCCGCCCTTTACCATAACCACCATATTAACACACTACTAGCTAACTCAACCAGGCCCCGCCCCTTTATTCTACGTATTAATATTTAAATGAGGAATATTGTGACGTGTTCGTTCCCGGAAGAAACTCAAGACTACAATGGAGGCGTTTCAGGGAGGCGTCCTCTTTAACTGAGTGAAGGGATCTGATAGGAATCAGTTGCAAAATAAATTTTCTAATGCAAAAGTGAACAGTGAATGGCAAATAGCTTTACAAACAGTATGCCCCACATATATATATATTTTTTAAGAACTGATCAAAATTAAAATCGGAAATCAAATCAAAAATACATAGTAGCACAATTATAAATTCTACAAAAAATTAGGCATTTAAAAATTACGTTTTTAAATAACGTTTCTACTATTACAATGCTTAAATCTGAAAACTTAAAAGCGACTGCAGATTGTTTGGCTGTACTAAGCAGGTTTTCTTATTTAAAAAAATAGGCATTAAGGCCCTTGCACACTGAGTCTGAAATTTTCATATGCGTTTTTTCGTATTCGTGATTTGGTGGCTCTGAATTGTCAAAACACCATTCAAACTGCTCGCTACGGATGCGAAAAACGCAGAAAATCTAACCCGATCTGATTTTTTTTAATGATGGACGAAAGTTTCAGAGGCAGTGTGTAATCCTGATTGACATAACGTGAGGTCGTATTTATTTTTTAACGCGCGAAGATTTCAGACGCGAATTTTGGACTCAGTGCCCTATTTTAACGATTTGAAACGCAAGTATCAAGCGCGAAGCGCAAGTAACTTTGTGGGCGGATCTCGGCGCTGTTGCTATTTTACCGGCGGGATAAATGACTCTTGCACCCGACGCAAGTTTAAAAGGGGTTGGTCTGAAATAGCTTCATTATTCATAGGTGTGGTTTGGGCGTAACGTGAAATAAACCAATCAGAGCGTCATCCAACATACCCTTTAAGAGCAGGTGCGCATGTTGCATGGCGGATTGTTATTTTTATGGCGGATTTAGCAGGCGCGCGCCAGGAGCGGTTCACAGCCGAGGAGAGCGACGTTCTTGTCAGGGCCGTGAAAGACAGAGAAGTGGCGCTGTATGGGGATGGGAGATTTATTTTTTCCTGGTTCTTGACGGACAAACTAATTTGTCAGATGCCCTTATATACACATGTGTCTTGCCACTATTGGGCAAACAGGTCTGATCCGTCATTACTACAATTAGCCTGAAAAATGTGGGTAAACGTGTAAGCTAGATTTAGGCCTACATTTTTTTACATCTTCATGGACACCACAATGATTTCCCTCATGGGTTAATATTTTTCCTTGTTATAATGTATGATTTGCATAAATAAAAACTGCTGCATCTGTGTTGATGAGAGAATTAAAGTGTATGCGCGTTGTGCACCCGCTACATTATGGCCAAGCATGCGCGCTTAAAATAGCATTATGAACAACACGCCACTGACTTTAGACTAGGTTTTTTCTGGTCAGTGGCGGAATTGTTTTCTGGAACTGCAAAATAGCACTAGGGAATGTTTGCGCCGAAACACGCCTCCTTTTTGGACCGACCCGCCCAGGGAGCGCAAGTTCATTTCCTAGTTTACGACGTGCGTCTGTGGAGGGAAAAGCCCGCTTTGCGCGGGTGCAAAATAGGAATGATACATGCGTCAGTGTACAAAGTCATTTGCGCCGGGTGCAAGATAGGCCCCTCAGTGTGCAAGGGCCTTTAGTCTCGAATAATAACAGTTTTTCTCATTTAACTCCATGATTTGTGGCTATTAAAGCCTCCTCACCTCATCCTCTTCATCATCATCCTTCTTGTCTTTGCTCTTCTCTCCTATCAGGTCGAACTCAGGGATGAGCTGTGAGATGCTGATTGGTTCCTCAGGAGGAAGGTCCACCGGCTGCATGTTCACGTGTTGTGTGGAAACAATGGAGGAGCGATCATCCTCAAGCATCTTTAGGAAAATAGGTGAGACACAGAATTAGAAACCCATATACAGTGGGGTCAATAGCCACACTGAAAACCCTGCGACTCGAGATCTCACAGGTAAGGCAGGCTCTGCGTCCTGAGCTTTGCGCTTCTGTCCGCGGTGTCCGGACGGAGGAGGCATGACTGATTCATCGAGGGTTGTGCGACTGCCCTCCATGGCTGAAGCCTGCAGAACACTGGGCTCCTCCAAGATGGTCTGGTCTGCAAAAAGCCAAAAACGGGCATTAGTCAAAAAAGTAGAGAAACTACGGTTCAAAAGTTTGGGGTGGGTACATAAAAAAAATAAAAATAAATAAAAATCTGAAACAGCTCACCAAGGCTGCATTTATTTGATCAAAAACACAGTAAAAACAGTGAAATATTATTACAATTTAAAATAACAGTTTTTTTATTTTAATATATTTTTAAATGTGATGCAAAGCTGAATTTCTTAATTACTTAAGTCTTCAGTTAGTTTACAAAAAAATGTTTAAAGATCTCTAGATCATGATTCTAAATAAAACAACTAAACAAAATAACATGAAATTTACTAGAGGTGTTACAAAATGTTAATTGCTGCAGTCTATTTTAAAATATTTCCTTAATTTGAATTTATTATTATTTTTTTATAACAATCGGTCTGAATGAATGATTCAATGACTCACTCATAAAGACTGAATCAGCAATTTTGAACGAATCTCTTGAATGAATGACATATATTTTTAACAGTCACCTGTCGCCACCTACCGGTGTAACAATGTAATTGACCTTCATTTGAAGCGTCAAGTTTCTTTCAAAAGGAGATTTACTGTATTTTGATCACTACTGAAGACATCAGTGTTTATATCCAAACTATAAACTTTTATCCCAGTACTTCTGTGATCATTTGAATTATTGTAGGACAGAAATATGACAGTGTGTTTGTCAAGCTGTTTCATATCTGTACATGACAACTGCTCTCTCTGAGTCAGAACACAGATCTGAATGTTCTCTGTGATCATACTTGTCAAATAGACATCTTAGCAGAATCATAATCTTTTAGGAATAAGTTTGTGTGGGTGTTTAACGATAAATTGTGCAGCTCTAGTAGTTAGTAGCACGAGTCAGCCTATCTTACCAATGATGTCTCTTTGCTGAGACAGGACCTCTTCCCGAGGAACCTCAGGGTTCTCCAGGTCTTTGAGGAACTCGTCCAAGCTGTCCGCTTCTCCACCCTTCCTCCTCTTCCTCAGTTCATCGGGCACCAGAGGGGTCAGGCAGCGTGTGAACATCTGCACAGAGGAGTACAGCCGGGCTCAGCAATTTGTGCAGCAATTCATTAGGTAACTACACTTTAAGGGCAAGACAACAAAAACTGTCCAAATAAGTTGTTTTAA